GGTCTCCCCATCTTGCCCCGAGGCAGGCCCAGCTCGGGGTTCAGCATGTCCATGTAGCTCTGTATGTCTGCAGCTCTCGCACTGGGGAGCCCTGGGGAGGCGGGAGGGTGGGCCAGGTTTGGGAGTTTGCAAAGAAGCTGTCCCCCAGGACTGAGACTCCACCGCCCAGAAACAACCTGCCCAGGGGCAAGGCAGGCTCAGGGGTGCTACTTGCTTTGCCCACTGTGGTCCCTGGCAGTGCCTTCCTCAGCCCTGCACTTATGGGGGAAAGATCAGGCGCTCAGGTCTGGAGGGGAAGTACCCAGGCTTTGGGCTCCAGGGTGTGTCTAGGGATCAGGGACACCTGGAAGGGAGGGGCAGTGCTCAGGGCAGCTCTGGCAGGGCAGGGGGCAGGAGTGTGGCCTTTGCAGGACACTCCTGCGGGCTCTGCAGGCCACCACCTGGCGGCGTGAAGCAGGCGTTGCAGGGGAGGGGCGCCTGTGCTCAGGGCGTGGTCAGTGTGTGTGTGTGTGTGTGTGTGTGTGTGTGTGTACATATGTGTTTACATGCTTCTTTGTATTGATGAATGCATGTGTGTTGGTTTGGGATGTAGTGTGTGTGTGCACGTCTGTGGTATGAAAATAGAGTGCCGTGTGCTAGTGTGGAAGGTGGGTATGTGCAGATATCTGCACAGTTCTGTGTGCTTGTGCACTCATGTCTGTATGTTGTGTGTACACATGTGAAAGCGTGCACTTTTGAGTGCAGGTGGCTGAGAACAATGAATCGTGGGTGCGGTTCATGTGGACTTTGCGGGGCGAGTACATGACATGTGTGTTTGTGGTGGGCACACACAAGCACGAGTGACATCTCTCACCAGCAGGAGCGTCCCCTCCTGGGGTTTAGGGCAGCAGGAAGTGAGGGCAGCCTCCGGGCCGGGGGACAGTGGTCTGGCTCCAGTCTGCTCTCCCTCCTCCCGCTCAGGAAACTCACCTCGAGGAGGACGCTGGCCTTTGATGCTCGAGTGGCTGGACGAGCAGGAGTCGTAGTTGGAGAGGGTGCTGGTGGGCGAGCTCAGATCGAAGTTCGGCGGCTGAACGGACATGGTGGTGTTGGGCGAGGACATGCCCGAGTCAGGCTGCTTCACTTCCAGCTCAGCGGACGGATCCCGGGACAGCACGCGATGCTCCACGCTCTGCGGGGAATGCAGGGCGCCTGAGGGAAGCCCACCCTGCAGACCCGCCGCTCTCTGGGCCTGGGTCCCACCGTGGGACCTCCGTCTAGCCACTCCTCTCTCTGAGATCTCTTCCCCATCACCAGAGGGTCTCTCAGGTTCTTCCGGGCTAAGATTCAAGCCAAGGCCCCTCCTTCCCCATCACAGGCATCAGGACACAGGTTCCTGGGAAACTCCTCCCGCCTCCAGCTCCTTCCTGCTCAGGTGGGTGGAGAGACTGGCAGGACTGAAGGGGCCCTGGGCTGCACCCCAAAGGGAGACTTGCCATGGACCGCCTGCTCCGTCCTCATCCATGGACAGAGGGCGTTGGCTCCGGTGTCCCTGTGGGGAGGGCTACAGCAGGTCCACCTCCACCGCTTGGCCGGCAGCCCTTCTCTACTTGCCTCACCTGCGCCAGCTCCCAGCAGCAGCCCAGCCCGTCGCCCAGTGGGGCCCTGGGGGGAAGGGCGGGGCCTGGAGTGGCCCAGCTGAGCTGGGATGGGCAGTCTGAGCTCGGGCTGCCAGGCCCGTCATCCTCCCCTGCCCCATCGGTGCCTCTGACCGCTGGCCTGTCCGCCCCTCCCGGTGTGGGACGGACTGGGGTGGGGGCGTTGCTTACGTTGCCCATGCTCTCCCTGCTGCCGGCAAGCCCGCTTGCTCCACTGCCTCCTGCCCAGGCCTGCTCCTCCCTGCCCCATGCCCCCTCCCTGCCTGAGAAGTGTCACAGGCCCCCTGGGAGGGAGAGGCAGGCCTGGCACCAGGTAACGGCTCGGCGGCCACGCTCATTGGTCCTGTAATTAGGGGCTCTGCGGGAGTGTTTGCCTTTTCTGGGCCAAATCCTCCGTGGCTTGGATCTGTCACTGCTGCAGCTGGGCCTGCCTGGGCAAGGGGGCCAGGCCCTGCCGCCCACCCCATAAGTTCCAGGGGAGCCATAGGAAATGGATTGGAGAGCAGCCTGAGGGTGCTCTTTACTCAGCTGATCACCGTGGGCCCTGAGCCCACCCAGCCTTGACCTCCATGGGCAGCAAGCAACAGAGGCTGGGCCTTGGGCTCTGCAGCCTGGGGCAGTGGCTTCAATGTCCCCTCCTCCACGTACTAGCTGTGTGACCTTGGGCAAGTTAGCTAGCCTTTCTGTGGCTGAGTTTCTTTATCACCAGATGGGGGATACCTGCCTCACTGAGTTGTGACAAAGATGTAAGAAGTCCATGACAAGCCGGGCTTGGTGGCTCAGCCTGTAATCCCGCTGAGGGAGGCTGAGGTGAGTGGATTGCCTGAGCCCGTGGGTTCGAGACCCGCCTGGGCAGTGAGACCTCATCTCTACAAGAAACCAAAAAATTAGCCAGGCGTGGTGGCACATGCCCGTAGTTCCAGCTACTTGGAAGGCTGAAGCAGAAGGATCAACTGAATCCAGCAGGTCGAGGCTGCGGTGGCTGTGAGCGTGCCACTGCACTCCAGCCTGGGTGACAGACTGAGCCTCTGACTCAGAAAAACTCCCCAAAACCAAAAAAGATGAACTGGGTTTACACCCATAAGGCAGTTGACAGGGTACCTGTCAGAGTCAGAGTTCAGTGGATGGGGCTTGCTCTTGTGTGACTGCTAATAGGTGCAGCTGGGGAGGCCCTCAGGAGGGGCTGGAGGGCCCTGAGCTCTGGTGCCAACCCCCACAGCCCCACGACAGAGTTATAGACGCTCTCAGCTGGAAGGAACTCACCTCTGGTGTCAAAATTGCCCCTCCCAGTGTCCATTCTGCTTGTATACCCCAGTAACAGGGTGCTTACTACCTGATGGGTCAGCCACTCTCTCAGGGAGGCCCTTTCTGGGGGAAGGTTCACCCTCAGGTCCGCCTGCAGCCTTTGACCCATGGGCCTTGCTGTATTTTGCAGTCCCCAGAACCAGGGTCATCCCCATGTGCTGGCAGACAGGACAGACAGACAGACAGTGCTCAGGGCAGGGGCCACCTGCCTTCTCTCTCCCAGGCCTCATGGCCAGGCTGTCTCCTGGAGCTGCTCAGCATCCTTCTGCCTCCTTGCTGCCTCAAAACAGGCATTGTACCAGATTGGTCAGAGTGCTGGACTAGGAGATGCCCACACTCTTGAGCTGAAGTCCTAGGGGGTTACCTCATAGCTGTCTCACCAGAATAAAATAATTTATTTTTTATTTTTTTGAGTTGGAGTCTCACTCTGTCGCCCAGACTGGAGTGCAGTGGCACACTTCTGGCCACCGCAGCCTTGACCTGCTGGGCTCCGGTGATCCTTCAGCCTCAGCCTTCCAAGGAGCTGGATCAACAGGTGCGCGCTACCACACCCAGCTAGTTTTTGATTTATTGTAGAGACAAGGTCTCACCAAGTTGCCCGGGCGGTCTCGAACCCGCAGGCTCAGGCAATCCACTCACCTCGACCTCCCAAAGTGCTGGAATTACAGGCTGAGCCACCAAGCCCGGCCGAATAAAAGAATTTAAAGAGTGACACAGGTTTCCAGTTAATTTCCAGTTATAACATAGCTGTGATGTGAGCAGAGGTACAGTGTAGTGGCCAAGAGAGGTGGGCTGGGTGCAGTGGCTCACATCTGTGATCCCAGTACTTTGGGAGGCCAAGGCAAGAGGATTGCCTGAGCCCAGGGGTTTGAGACCAGCCTGGGCAACTTGGCGAGACCTCATCTCTACAATAAATAAAAAAATTAGCCAGGCGTGATGGTGCGCACCTGTAGTCCCAGCTACTTAGTATTATGAGATGGAAAGATTGCCTGAGCCCAGCAGGTGGAGGTTGCGGTGGCCACGAGCTTGCCACTGCACTCCAGGCTGGGAGACGAAGTGAGATTCCAACTCAAAAAATAAAAAAATTAAAAGAGAGAGAAAGAGAGGTGACTCCTGGCCAGGCCATCCCAGGCAGGTCCCAGCCATCCCAGGCAGGTCCCAGCTCTACCATTTGCCGGCTGTGTGACCCTGGGTGTCCCAGAGACTCAGTTTATCCATCTGTGGGATGGCACACTTCTACTCCCTTCTTGGTGTGAGAGCTACATCTGAGCCGAGGCCTCTCGTGGTGAATGAAGCTGGCTGTTCCCAGTGGCGGCTGGGGCTTTCTCCCAGCCTTGGCCCTCAGGCTGAGCCAGCTCTTCCCTGATCGCCTCCTCTTGACCTTTTTGCCTCTTCTCCCTGACCCCCAGTGAGCAGAGGTTGTGCGGGTTGTGGTTCAGGGCCTCGCGCCAGGGGCTCCCGGTCCCAGACCGCAGCTTCCTCCTTGCTGAAAGAGGTAACCAGCACCGGGGCTGGGGGCGAGAAGACAGGACGCGGCGGGAGCTGCGCGGGGGTCGTACCAGGTTCTCCACGGTGCGCAGGTAGCGGGTGCAGTGGC